GGTAAGTTTGAGCCCAAAAATAAATGTTAGGGGCATTTGCTGACCAAAAGGTTAACGAAGGGTATTTTTGAGCCATTTTTAATACGTTAGGGGTATTGTTGGCCCTTTTCCGTAAATTATTCATTTAGTCAGTCTAGTGTGGATTTTTTCCTCTTCGTGATAAACTGTATTCTGATTGTGAGTGCCCTTACCTGGAGGAGTTTCATTGAACTAGAATTGTTTAACGCTTGCCCCTGTTAACCGAAGGTGATTTCAACGTGGTACATGTGCCCTAATACACCGACAATGTTCTAAAGGTTCCTCTAATGTGCACTTTGTTCGGTAAACATTTGTGATTAGAAAAAGTAAAAAGGTAGTTATCTTCCTTTCTGGCACCTCTTGAAAGACTTGATTGGGCATAGTAGCACTTGAAATTCGAATACTGAAGATTTTTTATTCGTAAAACTAACCTCAAGTCTACTTATAAAAAAAAAAAAAAAAACTGAAAGTAGAATGTTTAATATCACGATCGGCTCACCACGGGCCATTGGCCCATTAGTTTTGTTTTGGCTTATTTTGATAAGCAAGTATTGGTCGTGTTAAAATCCAAGCGCTCAGCTAGTACTCGACATTGCAAAAGTAGGGAGGATCCTTGTAGAAAGCAGCGGAAGCCCCCTCATAAAAAGGGGAAGCCTCTGTATAAAAATCACTGTTGTAAAGTATGAATATAGTTGATCAGGCTGTTTTCCTCGTATATAGCTTCTTTGTACAGGGGCCCTTGTACACTGGGTCATTGACTTCTGGGGCCTAAAGTCCCCTTGTATTGACTTTTTTTCAGTACAATCCTCTTGGCCATTCAATTAGAGGTCTCTCTGTCTTTAGATAATATATATGTATAACTCTATCATCATTGAGTATGAAATCATGATCATAGCCACATCTAGATTGTTCTAAACAAAGAGGAGGGGTCTTGAAAAAAGAAAAGAAAGTGGAAAAGATTGCCAACAGAACATTGGCAGTACCAATAGAAGTTTTTTCACTTGCACTGATGATTGCGATGAAGAGAAATTATTCGTTTCTTCCCCTTGAAATTGTCTCTTGATCTTTCAACTATTCTTGTGAACCAAAGGACAGAAAAGATAAGTCCTTTTTCAATATTTTCATTTTGCAGCAACAACAGTGTAATTATTCATCTGTTGCTATAACAAATCAGCAGTAGCATGCCATGCTATACTTTGTACTTCTGATTTATCTTCTTTGTTTTTTACTCATTTCCTTTCTTCTGCAGTATTTTTTTCTAGGTGGCAGGTTGATTTTTGGGCCAGATGCAAAGTCATTGCTTATAACCTTATTGCTTATCATAGTACCCGTCACTGTTTTCTGTGTTTTTGTCGCAAGGCATCTGCGCCATGAGTTTTCATCGTACAATGCAGGATATGCTATTTTGGCAGTAGCAATTATTTTCACTATCCATGTAAGTTCATTAACCCCTTACTTGACTCTTGAGAATGATTGCATGTTACTTCTGTCACCAATATGGTTAAAATAATGTGATAAGTTTGTTTTACTTTGAATTCTTGTGGTTTTTAGCTAGTGGCTAGTTGTTACATTTAATTTTGTTCATGGATCGTTAGCATTTGTGTCTAGGATTTGTTTGTCCCTTTCTCTGTCCAGTTGTTTTTTCATTCTCCTGATTATTTAATAGCTTTGATTTTTTCATTTTTACACATAACAGTTACATAACTATAACAGTTACATAATTAGGTTTTGCTATTATGTTTTCAGGTTGAGTTTTTGGTGGGTGGGATATTAACTGTAGTGCCTAGAGCAGTAAAATTGCTGGTTAAATTTCATGGTACTTGGTGATCATGGAATTTCTATTTTCCCTGCTCATTTGGATACACAGTTTCCACTTTCCAGTCTTTTTCTGTTTATTCATGTTCTTCAGACTTGATTACCGAAGGAGGAGGCAAATAACGAATGCTTTTAATATCTGATATTATAGATGACAAATAATTGGATAATCTTAATTTTCATCTTGGTTTGGACTGTTGGTAGTTGCACAATTATACTAGTTAGACACTACTGAACATGCAAAAATGTCGTGCACATATGGATATGTTTTGTCAGCTCTCAGCTTTTGTTAGTGAAACTTTTAGAATTTGATTGAAGTTACTTGTTTTATCTTTATTGTTTTGGAAAGATTTAGCTGAAGGTAGTACTTCTGAAAATAGTTGCCTGATAATTTGTTCTATTTGCTTCTTTCTGTGTCGAACTATGTACTGTTATGACCTCTCTATATGGGTATCACTTTTTGTTCGTTCGAAATAGTGTAGAGGAGAAATGGATCAACTCTCAAGCTGTGGCTTAGAGGATCCCTGAATTGGTTTTGGCAGGTATTGGTGCTGCTGCTTCTTACATCAGCTAGAGATCCAGGTATTGTTCCACGTAATTCTCATCAGCCAGAGGAAGTATTCCGTTGTGACACTTCTGCATCAGTAGAGATTGGTGGAAGACAAACGCCTAGCCTTCAATTTCCCCGAACAAAAGAAGTAACTGTTAATGGGATGCCAGTGAGAGTGAAATACTGTGATACCTGCATGTTATATCGCCCTCCACGTTGTTCGCACTGTTCCATCTGTAACAATTGTGTGGAGCGATTTGATCACCACTGCCCATGGGTGGGCCAGTGCATTGGATTGGTAGGGTATTGTACTAGCTAAATTGGTTCTGTGAAATTTTCTTAATTTTTAGATCTATTGGGTTACTCTTGACAGCTCTCATTTTATCGTGCAGCGCAACTACCGTTTTTTCTTCTGCTTTGTCTCTTCTGCTATGCTGCTGTGCATCTATGTGTTTGCAATATGTGCTCTGTACATCAAGGTGCTAATGGATAATGATCAAGGCACAGTCTGGAAGGCAATGAAAGAGTCGCCAGCATCTGTCATTCTAATGGCTTATTGTTTTATTTCCCTGTGGTTTGTTGGTGGACTCACCGGCTTTCACTTGTATCTAATAAGTACCAATCAGGTCAGTTGCTTTATCTTGTATTCATGATAGGACATTTGATTCTAAAGTTCAATTTTTTTAGAGATGCTAATTGTGCTTCAAGATAGGGCATGAACCCGTGCATTCCATAGGCCATGCTTCTTGTGATTTTGCCTTCCTGCTGCTTTTATACTTTTGTTGGGCCCATGAATATGCTGCTTTGTTTACTGAGCAGAGTATGATTGGAAGTAAAAGATGAGCCTAATATACTACTTTCTCTGTTCCCTTAATTGCTTTTGCATTTTAATGTACTGTTGCACGAGGGTAGGGTCAGGTTGGTGTTTTATGTCTTCCTTTTCATTTCAAGTTGTTCCTTTGCATTTATGTTTAATAGTTGCAGTTAGTTCATGTGAAGGTTTTGGGCTGGTCTGATTTAGGATAGAAAGGAAAGAATGGAGAGAAACAGTAAGCAATATAGTTATCTTATAAAATGCACTTGCTTTTCTTTCCTTTTATTCATTCAAAACAGCTAACCCATATCGGTTGGTATTCATGCATTAGTCAAGTATTGTCTCTGTAGTTAGTTAAAGTAAATAGCTTTTTGACAAGGTGTCTGTCTGGGGGATCCACTTTACCATCATGTCAACAAGAAATTTTCTTCTTGTGCTGTTCTAGATATGCAGCAGTCTTTGCATTCTCACTAGCGTTTAACCTTGTCCTGTCTCAGACGACCTATGAGAATTTCCGGTATAGAGCAGAAAACAGGATCAATGTCTATGACCTTGGTTGTTTGAACAACTTCATGGAAGTATTTTGCACAAAAGTAAAACCGTCACGGAACAACTTCCGAGGTTATGTACAAGAGGAAGAACCACAGCCACCTTTGCCTACTACCAGGGAAGCTGAAGTTGAAATGGGTGAGGATCAACGAGTGAAGGTAGAAGATGATCTCGATATTGGTGGAGACCTTCTAAAGATCTCACAGCGTCATAGTATTGAAGATATTGAAGCAGATATACGTAGCCGAGGGAGTGATGTGCCCTATCATAATTCATCTGAGGCTGATTCAATTCATGGGTCAGATAGGCGAGCTCCCAACGTGCAATCAGACACGCGTCACTCGAGCTGGGGAAGGAGAAGTGGGAGCTGGGAAATCGCATCAGAGGTCCTTGGCACGAAAACCAACGTCCCCGAGAGCAGGAGCTACAATGCTTCGCGGGAGCCTTATCAATGATTTAATGATGTTGTACAGTTGACGACAATGGATAATATCATTGGGCTGCAGTTGTAACTTACTCCTGTAGGTTAACTCTGTAATACATTATATCCTTTTCACATTCTCATTCACCACTGGATACTAGACTGGTATAAATATTCTTTTGGGAAAATTAGTGAATAGGCGTGTGTGATTTTTTGAATGACAAGGTAGTCCCTGTTTTGGCTTGCTGCTGCTGCTGCTGCTTATTCTGTTCAATTGGGGGACTGTGAACTGGCTTGTTTTGTGTAGACCTGATGCCTCTGTTAATTTAAATAGAGATGGTTCTTACTCATTTTACTTCTCCTTGTTTTCACCATTTTTGGGTATCAGTAGCTTCTTCTCTTAAATCTTCTGCCATCTTTTCAACTTCATATCACAATTCACTAACGACACAATATTACCTCTTAATTTTGAAGCCCATTATTACAATATTTGGGAAGGAGAAAGGGAGTGTGTATCTTTTGTTACATAATTGATTAGCTGGGAATGTAAATGATCCAAATCCATTGATCCATCCAAATACAGTGTTCTTTCTATGGTTGAGTCCATACAAATAAATTCTTTACCTTATTTGCAATTAGGCACAATTAAATTGTGAACTTATCTATTACTCATAATAAATGAGCTATACCAAACAATTATTTAATCATTCAGACAATCCATCATCCCAAAATGTCACAGATACAATTCATACGTTATGTTACAACTTCATACCCTTTCATTCCCTCGTTAAAAATTGTTTTTTTTCCTCTAAATTTATTCCTCCACAGCAAGAATGTCTTCATTAATTAATGTTTCGGTTCTTGCAATATTTCTTTTGGCATTTTTCAGTGCTACATCAGAGCCAGATTCTCCAAAATTGCTCGACAAGGCTTGTGCTTGGGGTTCAACAGATTGGAATTCTTCGTTCTGTTTAGACGTTTTGAAATCAAGTCCTCTAATCATATCAGCAGAGGATCTGCTGCAGCTAACACTATCAATCATCGAGACAGGACTAATAAACGCTACAAGAACACAAATATACATTGGAGAAAAGCTTAAAGGAAATATTCAAGTTATAGGACTCGAATTGAAGTCAGGTCTTGGTCAATGTCTCAACTTGTATGGTCAGATAATAGGTTTGTACAAGAGTGCTTTGGTTCATGTTGAAAAACATAAGTTATATGATGTAGCAAGTTTTGAATTTTCAATAGCTGCCAATAATGCTGAGTATTGTCAAGGTTGGCTACTTCTTTCTGGGATTCTTGATGCTGATATTTCAAGTGGTAACAAATTTATTAAGTATCTTAGTTTGACGGGATATACAGTTGTGAATGATCTTATGATCTCAGATTGGCTTATCAAAAAGTAGGTCATTCTTCTTGGTCCTTTTTAATATTTATTATCATTGAAAAGAAATTATTACTCGAATATTTTATTTTCTTCTTCCCAGCTTCCTCTGTATCATACCAGCAAACAATTTAAAAAAAAACAATTTGTTTTCTCTTTTTCTTAACTTCTTTTTTTTCATATTCTTTAGCCATTACTACTTAAACCATCAGAAAAACTTATTGTATTCGATAGATCTAATTTTTCCCTTAAAGGAAAAAAGTATATTAATTACTGAATAATTGGTGCAATAAAATGTAATATTCACTTGCATCTTGTGTTATTTTTCACGATCGGTGAGTATGTGTGCATATACAGTGCACATGTAGGATAAAAGTCAAGACCGTGTATAGAAAATTACTATACAATATCATACCAAGTTTGTATTAAGATTGAGATATTCTTGATCTTTAATTCCACGATATGAAGTAGGGGTGTACAAAGGAAATCGATAAACCGCACCAAGCCAATAATCCAAGTCAAATCGATAAAAAAACCCCGACTATGGTTCAGTTTGATTTGGTTTGGTGTTGAAAAAAAAACTCGATCATAATTTGTTTGTTTAACTAAATAAAGTCACATTGAAACCAAACCAACTCGACATTACATGTATAGAAGTTTTAAATATATTTATTGTAGCTTAATTTATAAATATTTCTTAATTTTTTTCATAGGTTTATCTTTTAACGTATTATTTGCTCCAATAAGTTTTATACTCCATAAATATTAGTAACTCAAAGAAATCCCAAACCAAAATCAAATCAATATTAATGCTAACAAAAGACATTCAATTTAATAGTACTAGAATGAGAATAGCCTTGGATATCTATTTTTTTTATTTTTAATGGTTTAGATAAAATGTACTATACCTTATTCTTTTTAGTGTTTAGTCATGTAAATAATAGTACTTATTAGTCATACTTATTTCAACAACTTAGTAATTTTAGATTATGTTCATTGTCATTATGGCTTATTAATTATATTTATTATGCGATTTTATTATCTTTATTGTTGAATATTTTCGTACAATGCCATGGTTGATCTCATATTTTATGTTATTTTCTGAAAAAATACCTTATATAGTTTTGTCTTATTAGGATTAATGAAATATTTGGAGCAAAAATTTTATGTTTTATGCTATGAAGACTTTATGAAAAAAAACCTAAAAAATTCGAGAAAAGATGAGATTAAAAAATTCTACTTTTATTGTTTTGTTTTGGTCTTTAAATTTAATAATCCGACATAATTGGTTTGGTTATCCGAACCAACCCGAACTATAAACACCTTAATAGGAAGTGTGTTGTTTATTGGCTAAAAAAGTGAGGATTCTATTTATTTAAACGCGTGTCTCCTGTCCTTTTGCAAATTAATAACTACGTAGGGCCCAAGCATTACTTGCTTTCCTAGTTCTTATCGGACTCAAAATAAAATGAGAATTGCCATTTTGGTAAGTATGAAATATAGGGCACACGTTTTCCTATTTCTTCTGGGACTCAAAATCCTAACTATTATAGGATTATGGGGTTTTTTTACTATAAAAGTGCATACAAATACATTAATCAACCACTACACATTTTCTACTTCAACATCAATCTCTCTCCAGAATACAATTCAAGAAACAACAAATTCCTTTCCAAAACCACTCACTCAAAGAAATATGTCGGTTGCGATTGCAGGAACAACAACACTAAGACAATGGTCTAATTTTGCAGAAAATTCTTATGTGTGCGTGACAGGTTCAAAATCCACTACTTACATGCTTAGACAAGAAAAGAAGTGTACGCTTCACCTCAACAAAACCTCTGTTGACAAGGTTGGTTTGCCTCTTAAAGTTTCGGTTGTTGTAATGTTATGTCCTTCGTCATCACTTTCTACTAGTTCTCGTAATCACATACTTGATCACAAAACCGAGCTCACATTTTGGATTCCATACGATGAAATCTTCTCGGACAATGCTCGTGATATTATGTCGAAAACTATCTACCTGATGAATGTCCCTTTTTCCTTGGAGGATAATCTAAATTGGAGAGACACAGAATAATATGGTAAAATTGAGATAACTGCCATTTTGGAAAACAAGGACATGTTGATTTCCAAAATAGTGGACTCTGTTAGGAGTATGATGGATTCTCCAGCTTCGCCTTACGACAAAGTTCATAGCTTCATCAATTTGGAAATTTTGAAGGTCACTCATCTATCCCAAATAGAATTCTTGAATAAGCTTAAGAATATTGAACCAGACCACAATATTCAGGCACGGAAAAGGCCTCAAGGAGTTATCGGTTCACGGCTCGAAAAGCTTGATGCTTTGCAGAAGGATTTAGGATTGCAAAAGATGAGATTTGTAAGTGAGGGTTCAAATCTTTTGGAGATGTGCTTGATTTGCAGGGAAGACTTCTCAGTTGGCTCTACCGTTTTATCCTTAAAATCATGTTCCCATATATATAATGAAACATGTTTTCTTGAATGGCTTCTGAAAAATAGATCCTGTCCTTATTGTCGGTCCGAATTAAAGTAGATTTGAAATCTTTGTAATTCATGTTGTTCTCAGTATGGTGTAAACATTAATGTCTCATTATGTAAAAGTGCTACTATTACTGTTGTTGATTTGTTAAATGTTAAGGTGCATATTGAGGTACTTGTAAAAGGCCTGATGACAAATGCTGCTTCTGCTTTTCTTTTTTGTTCTGTTTCTAATACTGCAATTCAGAGAAGACTCAGATTTCATTGTGTATTTCAATTTCGTTAATGTAATCCAAGACGACCTCAGATGAATTTTGTCCAATAAAAAGACATAATTAAGTAATATAAGTTGTATATAAAACATCTTATATGGATTTTGTGCATATTCACGTATGTCATAAGTTGGGTGATCATCCAAGAAATTTACTCGAGTTTAAAATTAGCATATGCAACGAACAGATTGCAGAGTAGATATATTTTGTCTTTTAAAGTTGTACTATAGGATTTTAGCATATATACAACAGGGAGTGATTATACATGAAATGTTGCAATTGGATTCATATATGAACTTCCAATTATATCTCACAAGCCTAGCATTCCTTTTTCTGTTAAGTTCAATTTTGTTATAGAGGTTAAGAGAAATTTGATGCTAATTGTGCGTCAAGATAGGGCATGAACCCGTGCATTCCATAGGCCATGCTTCTTGTGATTTTGCCTTCCTGCTGCTTTTATACCTTTGTTGGGCCCATGAATACGCTGCTTTAATTTATTTTCTGAGCAGAGTATGTTTGGTCTAATTTCATCAAGTCGTGATTGAGTTTTTAGCGCGAAACATGAGTTAATTGTTTAACGAGCGAAATTGATATCACATTGAACAAATGAGCTTCGAATTGAATTTCGATTGAACTACTAGGTTCATATTATTATTTGTGACTCATAGGAACAAGAATCGTCGAATTTCAAGTTCGTATGATGGAGTTAGAGCCTTTTTAGTAAAATATTAAATTGTTGGTGCAAGCAGGTTCTAGTGCGGACCTTTAGTGACGGAAAATGTACTTTTATTGAAGAGTTTTTATTGATCAGTTTTGTTTTTTAAGCTCATTTCAATATTTTTGGAGCTAGAGAACACGGATTTGGGCGATTTTTGAGAGGATTTTCACCAAATGGATTGGGATAAGTGTTTTCTACTCGATTTTTATTATATTTCACGATTCCATGATTATTTTCATCTTTTGTTAGTAAATCAATTGGAAGAAAATGATATATTTTGCAAAATATTTCAAAAACGAAAATTTAAGATTTAGAGGTCAATTGGTTATCGGAATTTGGTAAATTTGGTATGGTTGAACTCGTATCGGAATGGGTGTTCGGATTTCATGAAAATTCTGTATGGTTCTGATAGGCGAGCCCCACATTGACTTTTGGTTGACTTTTTAATGCAAAATTTTAAGTTGATGTTTTATTATCCGGAATTATTTTTGATGAATTTTAATGAAGTTATACAATCAATTTGGATAGATTTGAGATGTCCGGAGGTTAATTAAAGCAAGAAGGCTATTTTGGAATATCAACATAACTTCAAAAAGGTAAGTATCTTGCCTAACCTTGAGTGGAGGAATTACTCCTTAGGCATTGAGTCCTATGTGGAAAACTGTGTAATTCAAAACCATGTACGCGAGGTGACGAGTACGTAGTTGGTTTATATGTGTAAATTATATCGGTTAAAATTCTTAGACGCCCTTACGTATTAAATTTGGAAATTATTGGCACTTATTAAATCATCTATTTGTCATGCCTCAATCTTTGTTTGTCGAGTTTGTATTTTATATGATAATTTGATGTAATTGCCACTTAGATTTCTATGTGAATTTCGTGTGTTTGTTGATTTGATATTTCTTGGAAATAATCACATTATGGATTTTCCATCTGCAAATAATTAATTAAATAAGTTTAAATTGAGGCGTTTATATATTTATCTAAAATTTGGATTTAAGAAGGCGTTGTTCCTTGATGAATTATTTTCCAGTTCATATTGTTGAAATTGGTATTGAGTTATAAAGGTCGGGAGTCATATTGAGGCAAAGTGTTAAATTGTGAAATATTATTTTGTTGAGTTGGTCACTCCCGAATATTTTTATTAAGCTTTTGTGCACATTATGGTCGAGCCATGAGCTCCTTATTGTAGAAAATAATGTATTGTTGATTTCTTTGGCAAGTTGTGATATTTGAGCACTTGATGTGCAATTTGAGATATGTTGTAATATTTAAGCACTTGATGTGCAATTTATGATATGTTGTAATATTTGATCACTTGAGGTGCAATTTGTGATATATTTTGATATTTCAGCACTTGATGTGCAATTTCTAATATGTTGTGATATTTGAGCACTTGAGGTGCAAGTTGTGTTATATTGTGATAATCAGGCACTTGAGGTGCGAATTGTGATATTGGTATGCATGCGGTGGTATAGGGTCTGGGTGTTGAAACGCATGCGGTGAGATAAGGGGGGATTGATACAC